CCCCCGCAGGTGATCCTTCTTTTCCTCATGAAACGAGCGCGTAAGGGAGGTATGACCAATCATATAATTACTCGAATTTGAAATATCGCGCGGGGAAGCGGTCAAACTACATTTTTCGTTTATCCTTCCACAAGGTGTATTTCCCGTGCCACAAAAGGAGTCCTCAGCGTTCGTATCCTCCTCTTCGCGCAGTGCGCGGCGGGAGAGGGATTGGTTCTCACGATAGGAAATCGCAAGGCTCATATACGTTGCTCGCAATTCATTCTCTACTTGTTGTTGAGTATTCACAAAAGGTGCAGTAGATAACTTAGTATTATGATTATTCATATGATTATCCACTCGCATGATATTTTTTGAGGCATTCCCTTCCCCTACTTCCCCTAATAAGGATTGATCCTTCGAAGTATGGCATTGGGAAAGGAGGAATCTGTCCTTGCTACGATTTCTTTCGTGAAAATTCATCATCTCTGACATTTCCCGATTACTACACGCTTGACAATTACCTTTTTTCAATAATCCGCTAAACTCATTCTCATTATTATTATTGGCTGCAGAATTTCCAATCCTTAAAGGTGCATGTACTGCGCTGTGGCTTTGTGAGAGCTGTGGAAGATGATGCCCTTCTACCTTTCGTTTTTGGAAGCTCGATGTTCGTCCTTTTCCCGTTGTTCCTATTGTTGTGATGGGCTGATTTGATGTTTTGTTCTTAAATCGACTATGAATTGGTTTAAAGACGTTCTCCTCCCAGGATTCATACAGCTTCCTTTTTATCCGATTCTTGTGTTTTTCTTCAGATCCCTCAAGCGCGATATAACATGCGTGAAGCGCTTGATCCCGACGATCAAATCCATCAAGCTTTTCTCGAAACGCCTTAATTTGCGCAGCCTCGGCCTCGGCCTGGAGGTGGGCTTGACGAATTTGTTCCTGTTCGCGTGCAAAAGCCTCACTTTCTTGCTGTTGGCATTGTCGTTTAAACTCTTCCTGCGCGGCACGCTCCGCTCGGCGGAGAATGGCATTATTTTCCCGACGAATTCGATCTTTTTTGAGGCGCTCTGTCCAATCTGCAGCTTGCTGGATTTGCGCGTACAACGCGACGTCGTACACGGCAATAGAGTTAGGACTGGAATGATTATAATTATTATACTCTACACCTCCCCTAGGGGAGGTAGGAGACGAAGAAAGGCTCATAACGTACAAATAGACACCACACACTCTATTCCCTTTTCGTTCACTCCCTTCTTTTCAATTCAAAATTTTTGTAAATCAATCCGTTATTATACTCTTTTATTCATTGACTTTTTGTTGATTCTAAGATGGTAAATTACCCTTGCATAAACATCCACACAGGAATGGGGAAAAAAAGCATTAGGGAGTAGATCTGAGATAGCTGCACGAAGACCAATAAGATGGAATCCATTTAAAAATTCATTACTAATTAAAAAACTATATATATTTTTTTTTAAGCGGACATAAATAATCATACAGGTGGAAAGATACATTGGAATCCATCACATACATACATATATCTAGTGCTCTACGAAATGTGTAAAAATACAAAAGGAAACCTGTAAAAGAATGCATCCGGAAAAGGTATATTGAGGTTATATCCGCAAAAATTATTATTCTTAATGTGAATTCAAATTTTACTTTAAAATAATCAGACAAGGGGTGTGGGAATTCCAACACCAGAATAAAGTTCAATAACTAAGAGCATTTTACAGGAATTTTTCCCGATTTTGTGTGTTAAACCTCTTGTTGTTAAGTGTAACACATTAGATAATCCACAGTTGGTTACTCTCATACATATACAAAGTACAATGAACAATCTAAAAAGATTGAGAAAAAAATCTAATGAATAATATAAACATAATTTTCCCCCTCCCTCGTCCCCCTCTTCACAATTCAGGACGTTTAGTTTTCTTGTGACTTACATCGAGGGTGGCGAAAAGAAAAAAGAAAATCTTAAAATGCGGCGAATGTACATATTCAGAGCATCCCGTTATCTGTCTATCTCTTTTTGATCATCTGTACGTTTTTCTGTCTTCTGAATTCTTGTTCTTAGGTATTATTAAAGGTTCAACCTCCTCTCTTTTAGTTCTTCAATTCACCATCATTTCATCCCCTTTTTTTTATTCAGAGTGTTCTGTGTATTCCGTGTCCTGGATGTGGTAGTTCTTGTCTTTCCTTTTACTATTTTTTCTGCTGCTGTTCTTTTCGAAGATTTCAAAGTGGCCTCCGCTTTCTTACCTCGCTCCTTTTCCTTTTTGTTGCCTTCCCTACGATCACTACTACTACTAGCATTGTGTTTGGCACCGCCATTATTGCTACTAGTAGTAGGATTGCGTTTTTTAGTAGTAGTGGTAGTAGTGGGGTTAGTTTTTCTGCTTTTCGCCGCCGCGGTCCCGCCTCTGGCGCGTCTGGAAGTAGCAGAGGAGGTCGTCTCGGTCGCCGCCGCCGAGAGATCCTCGCTAGGGAGCCCGACCGCGTCCACCCCCTCCTCATCCCGGCCCCCGTGTTGGAGTTGCAGGAGGTTAAGCTGGAAGCGTCGGAGGTCCTGCGCGCAGGTGTGACGGGCCTCTGCGAGCTCCCGCTCCGCGCGCAGCCGTCGCAACGTGGCCTCGACGAGCAGCGCCTCGTCGCGCAGCTGTCGCACGCGGCGGTGGGGCAGCG